TTTCACTACTGCAAATAGTTTTATCATGTCTTTCAGGGGGCCTTAAGCAAATGCAAGTTTCCCAGTTGCCCTACGCGAATCGACCGGATGTGAGCTTTTGGTTTGCCCCATGTTGGGTTCCCCTGTATGGCCAAGGTCCCAAAAACTCAACCTTTGAGTTGCAGGTCCCGAAGGGGCAAGTGAGTTTTTGGGGAGACCCAATTTTCACACAATGAGAACCCTGCATTGGCAAACCCGTGCTAGGTTTTAGGGGTGTTCCCTCCAAAAGTGGCGAACCCCCCCAAAAAAGATGGGAAACCCCTCAATCAAAACCAACCAGGGGCTAGAAATCCGGGGTACCGATTACCCCGGCTGGTTCGTGCGGGCTGCTTTGAAAGGAACGCCAAAAGGAGGTTCCCCTTTTTTGCGACAAATCCCGTTTGCCCCCCAGCACCCCTCCCTCGATTTTGCTGTGGACCCTCGTGGGATCACTGTACTTACCAGGCCCCCCTCTGCAGCATCAGGGTTGTGGGATCAAGGGTTTTATCCAACCACTTCTGTGATATCTTCGGGAATCCCCTCTTTATATGGGGGGGGGGGGTTCGTCTTTGGGGTTCGGCCCTTTTTGTTGTATCAGAGAAGCTGGCGGTCGTTTCCCACGGCCGCGGGTTCCACCAGCTCCACGGCAGGAGTTTCAGAAGGGCATGCTCTTGGACTTCACCTTTCAGCACCAAGCTCCTTGCCTCGGATCGGACCGGGTTTTCCCTGTGTTTGTTTTGTGTGTGTGTTTTGTTTTATCGTTTAGGGGGGTGAACGCCCCTATGAACTGGGGTCAACATCACAGGCGATTTCTTTCTTTGGCGATGTGGCAATTTGCAGTGGCGGGTCCACCTATAGGCCCCCTCCTTACGCCCCCATTGGGCTCCTTATGGCCCTTGCAGATGAATCGGAACCCACTGCATTTTGATGTTCATCAAAGGGTCCCCCTTTGACTATCCAATCCCGCTTCTGCCCTTGGCCAAACAGGTCCCGCCTCTTGCCTCCTTTTCTGGGCCCCAAAATTTGCCGGCGAATCCAAATGGAAACTCAGAACCCCAGAATTGCATGATCCCATCAGTCCTTGGCTTCGATGGCTTGATGCTTCCAATCAAAAGGGTGGATGTCGCTGTTCTGTTTTGATTGGTGGATTCCCCCTTGAAAATGGCCAGACCCGAAAAGTGCTCCGTTCAAAGAGCATTCCCACTTTTAGATCCCTTGCCGACGAACGGGGCAACCTGGAGCACCAAGTTGGTCCATACCTTCGTTTACCGGCCCACCGAGGGAGGAGCTATTCCGGGGCCGGCTGGTTCGAATATTCTAAGGCGGAGCTGGTGCGCTGGAACTCCCCTTTGCAAGACATGAAGCGGGCCCTACACTTCAAGTCCAAAACCATCCCGCCGCTTCGCTGCATTTTCCAACCCCCCAGCACCCCCTAAAAACAATAAGAAAACCAATAAACAAACACACACACACACACACCAAAACAAAAAAAAGAAAGAGGGGGGAAAAACGCACCCGAAGACATTGTCCAATCCTTGAATCATTTAACGAATGCAGCCCTTGATAATCTGTGTTCAAGGCTACCCATTTGCACAAATCGAACGGATGAAACCCTTTTGGCAAACCGGTGATTTGGTGCACATATTTGGAGGTTCCGAAAGGTTAACCTTTTATTGGGCCCTTTGGGCAAGTGAAGAGGGGCTATTGGTACCTTGTCAACTGCGAGGATGTGCCGAAACGCCCGATGTACCAAATGCAATCTTTTTCACCCTTCACGTACATCCCTAGAAGGGTACGAGTGGATTTTGTGAGTTCTTGGGGTTAGCGCAGAAAGGAGAGAGGGTTATGCTGCCTTCAATGGATGTGCTCCTTTCTGGGAAAAGCCCAACCTGATAAATAATCTCGCGGAAAGCCTAAGGCTATTTGCCACTTGGTCACGGAAGGCAAACAGTTCGCTTGCCGGTTTGCCGTTCTTTGTGATCCCCCCGTCCTTCCCCCAACCCCAACCCCAAAAAGAAAGGAACGATGCAGCGACCAGCAACTGTTGAGTGAAGTCTCACTCCGGCTTGGCCCTCATTTCCTGATTTGTCTACTTTTTGGGAGGGAGGAGATGGGGCAGCTCGCGCCATCCGAGCCCAGAATCCCCGGACGAATATGTGCATGCTTGGGGAAGCAAGCTTTCCTTGACCGTGGCTTATCTCTCGAACCAGTGTTGTTTGTGTTGCTAGCCCCGACCGCGGCTGAACCCCCGTTGGTTGGTTGGTTGGTTGGTTGGTTGGTTGGTTGGTTGGTTGGTTGGTTGGTTGGTTGGTTGGTTGGTTGGTTGGTTGGTTGGTTGGTTGGTCTTTTCCCTGAAATACATGTTTTCTTGCCAGCGTCCCCCATTTTTCCTGTGGCAGAGCCTTCAGAATATATCGCCAGAGTTCTCAAAATTATTTGTGGGTCCCGGTGGCTCCCCTTTCACCGAACAGTTACAGGGTAACTTTGAGGATGACTTGCCAACAAACATCAGCGGGTCCGCTGCTTTCATGACGGCTGCTGCATTGAGTCGCCCGGAACATTCCTGCGGTCGCTCAGTGTTCATCTTTGGCACTCCGCTGCGGTTCCGCTACCTGCAAATCATGGATACCAAGCAGGGTGTTCTCAAAAGGCGAAGCCTCTGAAATGGCCTATCGTTCTGACCTTCTCGTTCCTTAGCGGATTGATCGATTGGCCCAAGCCAAGTCACAGAACCAGCGAAAGGGAGCAAAGGGTCTCACGAAGCGATCTCCAGTTTGTGTCTTGCAAGGCTTTCTTGCAAAACGGGCGGGCAAAACATGTGCGCATATCTTGCTTTGCTGTTGCCTGCGCCAACCAAATAAGGGCGCAAGCATCAATCCAGCCAAGCCAACCCGCCAGCTCGCTGCCAACGAGCCTAAGGACTTTTGCTCGTACATTTTCACGGCCATTCCTCTCCTTCGCCAATTGAAGGAGCTCCGAGTGTCACTGCGAGAATTCCCCCTCTCCCGGAACCCCCATTTAAGGCTCAGCAGGAGGCAGGCCGGGCGTTCAACGCCCGGCCGAGCAGTTGCAACTGTCGGGCAGGTTGCGATAGTCTTGCCTGCATGAAAAGTCTGGCACATGTTGAAGAAGCCCATGACTCTTGAGCAGCAGGCTTGCATCAATAAGTCCTGTGGCTACGAATCCACAGCCACAGTGAGACATGAAGAGTCTAGTCCTCTCCAGCCCACGCCGTAGTCCAGCAAATCTCAGGGAGACACTGTGCCGTACCTTTCCACGGCATGCCTTTGAAAAGAAGAGGGCCGCAATTGGGTCGAGTGTTCCTTGCCGGGAGGCTTTAAGGGGAGGTTTGGAGATGATCCGCGAGGCTTCTCAATTGATAAGGATGGGGGGAAGATTTCCAGTTGCTTAAGAATATGTTTGTTTGATTTCCCCCGTTGGTTTTAAAGGGACTCTATATTTGTTCCAGGGGGCGAAAACGCAAATGGCAGATCATAGTGGAGGCCTGCGAAGCCCGAGCAGAGCCTTCGCCAGGAGACGGATCTCGCGACTGACTGGTGGCATTGGTCGACGTGCTTGCCATTTGGGCGAGCATCCTTCACTTGGCCATGGGTCAAATTCCAAATCGGTTAGCCCCCAGTGAACATCAACCAATCCAACCACTAAAATAGACTAAAATGGGTGGTGCACCTACCCCAAAACGGTACCATTGGTTTTGACCCACAGCCACTTATCAACCTGGCTTACCCGCTCGGGATGCCTTTGGCAAGATGATGCCGACCTTAATTAGTTTGTTCTGAAGTAACGCGCTAACAATGTATCCATGTTACCTTCATTGAAGGAGTCTTGAATCATTGAAAACCACGGGCTTTTCACTTGCCGTTGGGCCTTGTATTCATTGCCTCCTTGCGTGCGTAGTGCCCAAGGCAAATCGCGGCTCAGGCGAACCCCCTGGGGCGCGGCAAAGCATGCCAATGCTCATGTGGCCACCTAGCCAAATGCACCCAAGCGTGTGTTGTTGTCGAGGGTACCCTTGCTTGAATTGCTTTCAAGGGGAACGGAAACCAATGTAATTTCACGGTGTGCTCACGAGTTCTGGCAGCTGGGGCCTGGGTGCACGCCTAGATGTTCGTGTTGATCAAGTGCTTGACCCGTGTCAAAGATACGGGCAGCATATGAAAACATGAGCATGCGCGTGCGCGAAGTTTCCCGCTTTCCGGAAGGGGTGCAGACTAGCAGTATCAGCGTCAATCACTTTGCTTCAAACTCGTGGCTCAGTGACAAGATCGGTCGTTGCCGGGCCTTGTTGGAAACGAGAGTGCGCACCGTTGACGTATATCTCCAGATGCATTTGCAGGACCTGGAAAGAAGGGGCGCGTTTACGTTAGCACGTCGGACTTGGGATCAAAGAGTCCAAGCCAGGCCATCATCTCCAAAAGCAAAAAAGGCGGCTGGCGACGGATGGGCTGCATCATGGCCCCAGGGAAAAAGCTTGTATGAATGCCTTCCAACCCTGGGAGCCGTTTTTTATTTATTTTCAGACGTACATGTCTAGGTTCTGATATCACGGGCCTGGAGAGAAGTTACTCAAGTGGACTAGAAGAGGGTCCCACTAAAAGGCTTCCCCCGGACGTGTTCAATCGGCTGGTAGAACAGGTGGACCTGAAGTTGGTTGTTTAGGCGTTGGTTTGGTGGTTTAGGGTTGGGTTGCGCTGGGCTGTTGGGTTGGGTTCTTCTTGGGTTGTTGGGCTACTGGGTTGCTGTTGTTGCTTTTGGCTGTTGGTCTGTTGGGCCGTTGGTTTGGTGCAACGCTTTGGGGGTTGCAAAAGTTGATGGTATGTAGTCGGGCAACAGCGGTCTGAGACAACACCCGACTGAGTTGCCTATAGAGTCTCTCTCACGGCCAGGCCATCAAAAGCAAGGGGCGCCCTTTGGATGGGGATTTGACATGTGTTCTCTTCCTTTTGTTTAAAGGAAGTCATGAGAATCACGTCGATTTCAGTGTGCGCCTTGACCACTATGGCTATACAACCGGTCCCTATGTTTGAGACACCAAGTCGAAGTTCACGGCAGGTGCCCATCAATTCCCTGGACCGGCGGGACGCGCAGTTCAAGGCGCGGGAGCAATAAGAGTCAAGGCTACATTGATTCTCAGTGGAATGGAGCAATGTCCCGCGCTCGTGTTTACATGTGGGCCATGTGGAGGCATCTTTGGTCCATTTCTAGCATGTCAACCTTTACCTGGCAAAGGAAAGTCAGAGGGATGGACCTGAAATCAACTCGGCGCGCGGCTGCCCTTTGCCAACGAAAGCAGCGGCTGGCAGGAATTCATCAAGTCAAGTAGTGCCAGGCATATGCCTCAAGGGCAGCATGCTGCGGTGCCAGCGATAATGGAAATGGACAAGGGTTCCTGTCAAAGGGATGGTAGCCTCGACCCCTCTCTCCAGCTCAGATGGCCGTGTCTTCCTTTGAGGGCTCCTCAATTTTTGGCCGACTTCAGGAAGCCGAAAGGCAAAGCACCATTTTGCGGGTGCAAATTCCGATCCGAGCCACCCAAAGGTTGGAAGGGCGAGTTCTTGCGCGTGCCAGGAAGCTTTGGAAAATGAGGTGAACATCATGTGCCTTGGCGGGACGAGGATCTCCTGGCCAAAGCGCCCAAGAATTGCGCGGCCTCCAGGCTCGTTTCTGCCCGTTTCTCCCCTTTTCTCCCCTTTTCTCCGCCTCTCTCCCCTTTTCTCCCCTTTTCTCCCCCTCTCTTCCCTTTTCTCCCCTGTTGTCCCACCTTGTCCCACCTTGTCCCACCTTGTCCCACCTTGTCCCCCTTTGTCCTAATAATAGAGATGGTAAGGAGAACCATTGATTAGGTGGTCTTTTGTTCCCTTTTGAAAAGGAGGGGATTCCCTTCATAGTCAACCAAGGAAGGGGTGACTGATTGCGAATTGTTTCCCTCAAGGCAAAAGCATCCAGAGCCGAATGTTTCTGAGGTCTCCACTCAAGGGGGGGAAAAATTGGGTGATGCTAGCCCCCATCTACGCAACTTGAAGTTTACGAATTCATGTCGCCGTCATCCTCACTCCCACTGCCACTTCTGGGCTTGAAACTTGGAAAAGACCGCTTTGGTAAGCAAAAAGTTCAGACTTTTGGCTACTCCACGGAAGGGAGCAGTGCTGGCCGCGGAGCGAGTTGTGTTTGAGACTGGTGCATGCTCCCCTTAGAGTTTGACGCGTCTTTCCGGGGCCCGACCAGTCAGAACTCGTTTCTTCGCTCGAGTTCATGAACCGCGAGCTGTCAAAGTAGATGACCTGGAAATCCTAGTGTCCTGGGAGTGGGCAATTCTCCGACCTATCTACCACATTCCAACTTGTTGCTATAGCGTCCTAGCATTTGCCATATGAAGTAACCAATCGTGAGTTTGACGCCCGGTACCAAGTGCGATACACATCTTGCATGGAGCTGCGTTGCTAGTTGGGGAAGCGGTTGTACCTGGCCTTGTGCTTCTGGAGTTGCCTTGGAAGCAGAAAGCAGCTCGAGAACACTTTGGCCCTTCCTTGGGGCATGCCAAGGAAAGCCCTGCAGCATCCGCACATCGTGGCGTACCTGGGGCAACTCGGTTTGCAAGCGATTTGGGCCCCCAACCGAAAATAGCATGCCTGATTTTGGTCCATATAAAGTGGGCCCCATCCATCCAACCATCCATATGTCCAACCAAGCAGCCGAAGCTGTTCAGAGGAAAAGGAAGAAGAGTAAGCCCCCGTCGCTGGGCCAGGGTTTGCCTTTCGGCACCAATTGGAAAATCTCAGAAAAAACATCCCGGGGCGCCAAAACCTCTACCAAGGGAGCCATGAAAATCCAGTTGAAAATGAGAGCGACCTCAAGGCGGACTTAAACCCGCGCGTTCTCTCCTCTTCGGGAAGTGAACCACGCCTGAGTTTAACTGTCTCGGGGTAATCAAAGCATGCAACCCTTGTGCCATAGTTCTGCATATAACTCACAGGTTGACGGCAAACGCTTTTGACTTAGAGGATTTGTGGACTACAGATGCCCCCCACCCCAGCATAACCGCTTAGCTCAGGACGCAGGTAGTATCAAACAGTCACAAGCCAGCGGACACTCTGCTTTGCAAGCGCCACTTGCGTTGCTTTGCTTTGCCCGTTGTGATTGTTGCACTGTTTGTGTCCAGTTTTTTGGTGTGCCTGTTTGTGTGCTTGGCTGTAAGGTGTATGTGTTCGTGTTTAGTTGTGCTTGTGTATGTGCATGTGTGTTTTTGCCTCTTAGTAGGTATGTGGTTCGTAATTTTGTGTGTGTGTGTGTGCGTGCATGTTATTGGGAACTACTTGAGGCTGGAAAAACCAGTAGGCACGGTCTCGTTGGAGGCACGACTACATGGACGAATGCCTCTTCTTGTACCTGGAGCATTTGCCGGGGGGCAGCATCACTCAGGACGGGAAGCAAGTTGGCATGAGCGAAGATGCTTAGGCGGGCCATGCCTTGACCACGCCTTTTTTGGTCCAGCTGCCGCTGGCTCTGTTGTGCCGGGTTCGCGCCGCCAGGCGCTGAACGAGTTTGGGCCCTTTGATGAGAGCCTCATGGCCTCCTACGCGCGGCAGGCTTTGGCAACTTGGCGGAAATTTCGGTGCCCCGGCCTCCAAAGCGGTAGAGCTTCAAATTGCAAAGTCAGGCAGCGGATAGGTGTTCCAACCCCCAAACCCAGAAGTCTTGAACATCGGTTGCACACATCCCAAACTACCTTGCAACTTGTTGCGTGGGTGCAGGTGCGAAGGTGAGAACTCTTTCTAGTAAGGTTCTGAAATTATGTTGATGTTTTCTCCCTTTTGACACTTCTGCAGTCACCCAGAGAACGCCATGAGCTTCTCACTTTGAGCACCTGAAACGGGCACTTGCCAAGGAAGGGCTGGAGTACTTGCACACGTGCGAGCCGGCGGTGATCCATAGGGACATTAAGGGGAGCAATATCCTCATAGGCGACGGCACCTTGGCAGAAGCTTTGCTGTCACCCCAAACGCTGCCAAAGCGAATCGGGGGGGGTGGGGGGGAAGCTGCCAATTCTCTTGGCAGAAGAAGCCTTGCGCAGGTTCCCAGCGAAGGACCTAAAGACGGTACATCATGTATGTGCAGCGCCGGAAATGCGATGGGCTTGGCTTGGCTTAGGCATCAACGGGCAACCCGGATATTTGCCATATGAATCTTGTCCATGGGCCACGTGACACTTTGAAACAGCAGTTTCAGCACGTCGCTATCATTCTTACTGAGAACTTGTGGTTTTGGACCAGCGAGGTCGGCTGGTTCCTCGAGTCGACTTGCAATCTCGCACGACCGCGATAGAGCGTGTGGGAAAAAATCAGGGGGTCCTCGGTCCTCCATTTCCCGTTTTGGAACCTCCAAAAGTTGCTGGCTTGTTCCCCCCATCCCGGGGCAAATCCTCGCACCAGGGGAACCGAGCCATGCGGCACACGGCCGGGGTTTTGCACTCTTAGCCTCACCGTCTTTGCAATGAGGGGAGCCGCAGAAAAGTTATTAGTTTTTTGAGCTTGCAGTTGATTTCCTCCGCGGGTTCAGTTCCTGGGCTTCAGACTTTGGAAGAGAATGCTATGTGGTAAACACCTGGGTGGCTTTGTTGTAGGCTACCCTTTTGGGGCTGGGTTTTTATTGGCCAGAAGGACAGTTATTCATGTTGTATCCGTTGACAACTTGAAACCAAGACGGAATCGAAAACTCTTCAGCAACCAAAAAAAAGGGTTGAGGGGAACACGATATCCCTTCAAGCCACCATTGTCTCATAGGGACACGGGTGACGTTTCTCAGGCGACACTGTGAAGCTGGCGGACTTCGGGTGCTCCAAGCGCACGGATGAGACACTCACGCGGCTTGGCCGGCGTGCGGTTTCGCTTGAGCAGAGGTCACTTCCCGAATTCCTGGACTCTGAACTGTTCGAGGTTGGACCATTTTACGCGCTGAATAAAAAGTGTGCTTACTTTTTTGGGCCAACTCAGGACTCAGGAAGTGAGGTTCTGGATGAAGGATACATCCAAAAACCGCCGAAAAACCACCCGCTTTACAAGGGAAGCCTCAAATTCTGGTATGTTTCAAGGGACATTGCCCATGGCTGACCTTTCTTAACTTTTGGCCTTGTTGGTTTTACGCCATTGTCCCAACCAGCAAAAAGGCGTTGTGTCTTGCCGGGGGGGGGGGGGGGGGGGCTAGGTCTAATCAAGAACACGCATTCCAACACGGGCCCCCCCCAACCCCGTCCAGGCTGTGGGGAGGTGCGTTGGGACCATGCAAGCTCCCAATTCACGGCAAAACACGTGAGGTGTTTCAGTGTCGCTGGCAAGCCTCACACCTTGCGTTGCTTCCACCCTTCATTTTCTGAAGGTCTGCGCTGCAACTGGGCAACCACGGGGGAAGGGTGTTGTAGTTTGAATTAGTGTCCTTATTTCTTGGCGGTTCTTAGCCGACCCCTACGTTTTTTTGACTTTTTGTATTTCGTGGGGGTTTGATGCTTTTAGCGGGGGATCTGAGGACCGCCCAGATTGTGAGAGGGTTGCGTTCTTTGGGAGCTTTCTGAGGAACAACTAGTGTGGAATCATGAGTCGACAAAACCCCTCTGAGAAGTAAGACGTGTGGCATAGGGAAAGGACGCCGTATTTGCCAGCCATGAGGAGGGGATGTGGCATATTTCCTCAACATACACTGCCTTGAATAAATCCTTCGAAGCAGCCACATGAAATGCCGAAGACCCAGCAAAAGCAAACATGTCCTGTGGGGTTTCTTGTGGCTCGGTATGGTTGCAGACCTGTTTCCCACGTTTTCGCCGGTAAATTTTCTCGAACGCAAACGGCCGATTCGACTGGCTCAGCATCCGAGGCACACGATGCGAGGCTCCATCCCATGGATGGCGCCGGAGGCGAACGTGATGCGGTGGTTTGGTTTTGGATTCCCGTCCGAACGCTGGCGGCCATACTGTGGATGGACGAAATCCTGCACCACCTAAGAAACGATGGGAAACCATTGTTTGTTGGTATTTACATTGGAATCATCATTCCAGGGTTTCTTAGGTGGTGCAGGATTTCGACCATCCACAGTAGGTGTCCTTTTTAGGTTAGTTTGGTTGAAAATAGATGGCCCTGCCTACAGTTTGGTTCTAGTCATTTACCGGTGCCATCGATTTTCCCAAAGGACACACTCACCAAAGTCATCCCCCCCGTTTAGGGATAAGTCAAAAGGGGGTAACCATGTTTCTCATTTTCTGACCTTAACCCCCAGAAACTGGCAAGAACCCATATGACCTTCTCAAAATGCTGAGAAGGTGTCACTGGCGCCCTCAAAGAATGACACACCCGTGAAAACACGGGCGGTGCTCGGAAAGCTCTCGGAGAGTTAGTTCAAAACGTTCTCCTTAAAGGAGCCGTTGTGGTTAATTTGATTGGTTGATTGGTTGGATGATCGAGTTGGCTGTTTTAGTTTGAGTTGAACAGCGCGCTATTGAATCAAGTCGAATTGAGGTGTTGATTGTGTAGTTGCACAAAAAATAAAGGTTGGCCAAGTATGACTCACAATCTAAAGATTCTGTGGTTTACCCTTGTAACAACCTTGGAAGCCGAACAGCGGGTGCTGGGAGCAGGTCTTGGCCCATGCGCGCTACGGCCGCGCAGCCGACCTCTGGAGCTTCGGCTGTGTGGTCATCGCGCCTCGCTCTGATCGATTGCCGGCGCTCGTTTCCGCGCCCGTTTCCGGGGCGGCGCTTGGGTCCCGGGTCCCGGGTCCTCGTTGGTTTTGGGGAGTCGGACACCCCAAAGTGGCGGGGGTTCCTTTGGCTAGGCCATTACTACACAAAGATGCGAGGTAGACTCAATACAAAGGAACAGCCAGGTGCGCCCAAGGCTGAGCCAGTTTTGCGGGGGCAAAGCCTTCCATTTCATGTTTCCCTGTTGGTGGTCAAGGGGAAAAAATCTGTCTCCGCTGGACGTGCAGTTATTCTTTCCAAGGCCTTAAGCAATTGGAGGAAACCTGGGTGTCCCAAGTGTTTGCATTTGAGGGGCCCGTTCTCCGAATTGTGTTTGGATGCGGGTTTCCCTTCAAAACAATATATAGAAGCTGCTAGGATGTCACTTTGATGGATCCAAACAAAACATGCAGGATAGGCAGCAGGCCAGTTGTTTGGTTGATGTGCTGTGTTGTCTCAACTTGCTCTTGATGGCCGTTGTTTGCCTGCCTTTTGAAGCGGTGTCCCCCAAGTCTGTGGTGGACTTGGAAGACCACACTTCACCGTTTGTGTGGCGGAGTAGTTTAAAGTGTTTTGGGTACGTGGCATGTTGGTGAGCCTTATCCTCTCCTTGTTCAGTTTGGGCACCTGTGCTCCCAGCACTTGGTCAGAGTCTCAGTTCGTTGCTCCCCAGGTAAAGAGACCATGGCGTCGCTCCATTGGTAGCCGCGTTTGAAAAACCCCAAGGTGCCAGTACAGGAGGGAGGGCGTACCAAGCTTTTCTTCTCATGTTCCGCCTGCCTGAGATCTGACTGCAAAGTGGTTCAGATACTACTCAATGGAGTGGGGACACATTGGCTGGTCAAAGTGATCCTTGCTCCATAATGTTTGCTCTCCCCCGCAGCCAAGCAATAAGAGATTCAAGACAGGTAAGCAGTCTAAGCAATCTGCAAGACTCCACTGCAAGAGGAAATGCCAAGCATACTTCAGCAATTGCGGCTTGCTTGGCCACGGCAGGAAATGGGCACGGCCAACATTCCATGGGGGCGCTTCGAGCAACTCGGCATAACTTTTGTGTATTTTGCGTCGGCACGCGCGGCCTACTCGCTTCTTGAAAAAGGGCAGCTCCCTCGACCACGGTGCGTCGCAGCTGCCGATTTGGGATAGCTTGAAAGAAGCCACGGGATCAAGAGCGAACGTCAAGGTCCAGAAGAATGGAACTAAGAAAGTCCATAAATTATGTTCTCAATCGCATGGTCAAGAACAGCGTCCGCTCGACATGCTGTTGTTTTGTTTTTGTTGGCTCTGAGTCCAAATCTTGGTACTGGTACATAGAGAGGGCGGTCAATAAGTGTGCCAGGGTTCTTCGATGCATGGTGTTTTAACGAAGCCTGGGATGGCAGCGTCTCCAAAAGCAATGTGTCGCCTTTGTCATTTGCCACAGGTGTTGGAGTTTCCTGCTGAGTTGATTGCCTTTCATCTTGACTGCTATTGGGTTGGATCTTTAGGCTTTAGCTTTTTGGTTGAAATCAAGTTGGGTTTTCCACTAAACCCATCTACCCCCCCCCAAAAAAAGTGAGGAAAAACAAACTTTTTGCAGGGGTCCTTCCAGCAGCAGGAACCGAGAAGGGAGCTGACTCCTGGAGTCTCCGAGGCATCACATGGCCGCCTTGGTGAAGATCGGTTTGTCGCAGGATGGCTCTGGCTTGCATGGCTTGCATGGCTTGCATGGCTTGCATGTGCGGGCCTTGCCTAAAGCAAAGCTGGCGCTTGCTTGGCTTTTTTGTGCATGAAAGCCCCAGAGTTCAGGATCCATTGGCGCTTTTGGAGGGGGGGTCCGTTCAGAATCAGGCACATTCCCGCCCAAAACCTCAAGCGTGGAACCTGAGAAAGACCCGAGTGACATGTTTCCTCGAACAGGGGCCCGCAGTCAGGTTCTCCATTTGGGCGGGTAAAGGATGCCCTTTTGTCCCATTGCCAGTGGAGGTCCGGGTAAGAGAACACGGTGCAGCTTGATCACAGGAGACGCCTCCGCTGCCAGAGCAGGTGAGCCTCCAGTGCAAGGAGCTTCGGAAGCCGACGAAATTGGCACGCGAAAGTGGTGGGTTTCTCAAAGTGGGGGTCCCCATTTGGGTGTGTCGTGTCTTGGGTATTCTTTTCGGACGGTTTGAAGGGAAACCAAGCGGACACCACCCATGTCCCCTATTTTGAGATGAACCAATATGCCAATATTGGCTGGCAGTAAAAGAAAAGTCAAGAGGAAAGGAAACACTGCAAGGAACCAGGTCTAGCGATTGTTTCCCGTGGCACCAAGGCGTAAAGTGCTTTCGGAAATGCAAAGCAACAGTTTGCTCCCACCCTGTTTCGTCATGTGAGCCACAATCCAAAACCTGATAGTTGAAGGTTAGGAACAGTCCCAACCAACGAGCGCAGCCTTGGTGACCAAGTCTTTGCATGGCTTTGGGTTCACTTTTTTGGTTTGACGTTTGGAGTAATGTTGATCCAGGATTAACAAACCCGTCCCATGATTAGGGGGGTGTTCCCTCCAAAAGTGGTCTGAATCCCCACCAAAAAGGGGGCACCCCTCAATCAAAATCAACCAGGGGCTTATTACTCCGGGGTTAACGTTATCTTCCATTTGGTGAAATATATATATATATATATGTGTGTTTGTTATTATTATTATTATTTCTTTCTCTGGTCTTAAAGGGAATCTATCACTGCTGGAAAGATTTTTGTTTTTGTTGTGTTTTTTTTCCCCAGGGGACTGAAGCAAATGGAGGTTATGCACGTTGGGCTTTGGCCAAGAAAGCGCAGCCAGCCACCGGCCGCCGGCCGCCAAACCGCCGAATCGCCGCGCAAGGACTTCATCTCCAGCTGTGTGCGCCGAAACCCAGACGAGCGCCTGACTGCCACGGACGGGAGAACCGGCCGTGTGTTGCGTGGGTGCCATGGCTGCCATGGCTTGGTGGTTTTGAAAGGGCAACCAAACGGAGAACGCGAAGTGTAGGGGGTTCCATGAATTTGAGACAACCCCCGTTGGCTTCTTGAGTTGCTTTTGGCAAAACTGATGGCACTGAGGAGTAGGACTTGAAACCGGAGCCCTCCATGCAACAGGCGGGACCTGTGTTCAACCAGAACCAAGCTTGCGCATGAAAGTAATCATTTGCTTCTGACCATGGGCACCCGGTTCGCTTGGTTTGCTTGGTTTGCTTCCATGCAGTTTGTGGTAGTGCTGTGGGGGTGCACAGACCTGGGACGGACCATTTGCCCCCCTCCGTAAATAGCTGAACTGCATACGCTGGATTGGCCTGAAAGTCCGCACGCGTGCGTGGGATGCCCTACGAAGCGCAAGCGCATTTTCGTCTACAGGCACACCTCTCTTTTGCTTCCCTTTGGCGTCCAAAAGGGAACCATCAAATACTGGCACAACCCACGAATCAAGGCACGCGTCTCGCACCTGCATGAGCCGTTTGCAGGAGTTGCTCCATCATGAGTGGCTCGCCATGGTGATGGATGCATGGGAAGATCCGCCACTTGAAGAAAGACAGGGAGGGTGCCAGGCTTGAGGTGAGTTTGTTGCAAGCGCCTCTTTTGTGAACGCAGTCCTCATTGGCACAGTTGTTTGTTTCTTGGCCTTCCAATCCGCAGAATGCAGAAGCTGGAAAGATGAGGCCTTGGCACAAGGGCCGCAACATGCTGTTGGGCTTGTCTTTCTTTGGGTTTCTCTTTGGCTTCCTTTAAAGCAACCCCACAAAAAGGGCAACGCTGGTTGTTGGCTCATGGTGGTATGTCGATCCAAACGCCATCGCTCAGCGGTGGGTTACTTGGCAGGGACCGGCAGCCTCGATCCATTGGACACGTTGCATTGACTAGGCCAGATGTCAAGACTGGGCAACGCAATGTAGCTTTGGGCTGTTGGGCAAATCAGGAGTAGACGAACATAGACGAATTGGGGGAAAACGAGCCACAGCAGTGTTCATTGCTTTGCGGGCTCACCTTGGTTTGCAGAATTTGGGGCCAACGTGGACCCGCGGCTCAGGTGAGGACACCGCCGTTCCCAGAGTCGCAGTGAGCGATGAGCTGGGAGAGGCGGATAGAGAGAGGTAGGTGCAGCTGAGTGGCAGCGAAAGCTCGACTCAACTTGCCCATTTTCCACTGGCCATGTTGGGGGAGTGGCTCTTTCATGAAGAAAACGAGGATGTCAAGAGCCGAGAAGTTCATTTTTTTGAGTCAAGTGTTGCAGTGTTTCAGGAAGGCAAGCGCATGGCAGGCACCTAGCTCAACCCCGGAAGCCAAGTTAGAGCACTTCGCCAAAAAAGGCGTGCTGGTTGCAGATAAGTACTCGTTGCACGGCTTGTTCTCGGCGCCTCAGCGCCTGGCACAATGGTTGGGCTATGTTATTCACATACAACTTAGGTGGTCAAAGTCGTGGTGTGATGTGTGATGTTCAAGTTTACGGCCTGCACCATGGTGCCTGGCGCACACGGAATGCTTGCCGACTGCCGAGGGCGCAAGGCAGCCTAGCAGCCAGCCAGAGGCTTTCAGCCTGGAGAGGTGCAAAAAGACGGCAGGAATGCAGTATTTGTGGGCGCCCTTTTTGTTGCCTTGCTGGAGCTGAGAGAGAGGGAGCATTTGGCGTTGAGCCTTCAACCGGGGAATTTGGTTTTGGCGGGATGCTTCATGTCATAATGGCAAGTGATTGTTCATGAACGAGCAACAACCCATTGCCTCCTCTCCATCATCATCCCTTCTCGTGGTTGCCCCTCCCTCAGTTCTGTCCGTTGGCCGGCCTTTCCGCTGAGTCTTTATAGCAGGCCTGTGGTGTTTTTCTTGTTTCCTCCTTGGCTGCTGTTGTGTTCGTTTTTTGTTTTTGTGCGGGTCCTCCTTCAAACATGGTTGCTGAACGTACTTCCACATGCCCGCACGTGCACGAGTCCCTAATTGAAAATGTCCACCCAGACATTAGCAAGGACAAGGCCAAACCGAGGGCTGCAGTTTGAAGGGGCCGCATTTTGATGTGATTTTCGGATTCTTGTGCCCTCCCCACGCAGGGCAGCCACTTCTGCCGTCCGACACTTGGTGTGCCTCGCAGGTTCCCCTTGGCAGAGGTCCCCGGACTGCGAAGTTAACGGTAGATCCCACGTCAGCGGCATACGGGTCTAGCTTCACACCACGAATGGTGCAGAAGGGGACTTGGGTGGAGGGAAACATTTGGGGGCAAGCCATGCGGGTATGTGGGGACCCCCAATATGGTGGTTTGACTTGTGGTTCCCTCTCAATCCACCCCAACAAGAAAAACACAGACACTCCCATGTGGCAAATGTGCTTATCCGCAAACTGCAAGTCTAGCCTGCCTGCGATGCGCTAAGAGATTGCCTACATCCCCATGGGTTTGCGTCCCGCTGGATTTGCAAGCCTCGGCTGGCCAAGGTTTGTTCAATTTGTTCCTCGCAAACATTGGTGGCATGTATAAACGTTCAAAGGCACCCAGTCCACTATCTGCGTATGCTAGCAATCTGATATCTCAGTTTCGTAGGCACATCCTTGCTTTCCAGGTTTGCATCCTGCGTGTCCCATTCGCAGGGCGTGATTTGCTGAGGCAGCCCACCTTTCCAATGGGAGGGATGATGCCTGCGGCCCAGTGAAGGTGCTTTGAACGCAAATCTACCGAGCTTCCACCCAAGAACGTCAGGCTCCATGTTTAGCGGACAGGGTGGCACCAAAAAAGGGGATTCAACTGCAAAAACACAGGGGACATACACTGGTGGGCGTGCTGCGATACTCCACAAAAGCACGGTAAATGTCGGTAAACTAGGCAGTTTGCTCCAGATCCAACTGCAAAAACACGGGTCTGGATCTTCCATCGATGCAGTAGAGCTGAAGGCCCCAGATGATGGCTCCCATGGCCCGGCCCTGAGAGGGCGGAGCTGCTGTGCGGCCTTGGATTCCCGGCCCGATGTTTGGATGTGGCATTTTTCGGTGAAAGGGCGTGGAAACCCAGCCGAGACAGTGGTCGGTGTTTGTCAACTATGCGGGGAGTGGGCAAGGTTTGTTCTCCGCTGCTTCTTTGGCAGATGGTTGATGTGTTGCTTTTTCTTGATGTCCCTTTGGGGGGGTGGTTTTGAAGGGAAGCTGGAAGAACACCAACCTCAAGATCCCATCGCTTCAGGCCCCCATGGCTTCCATGCAGGCTCGGGATGGGAGGAAGGTGCTTTCAGTGTGTTGGTTGGTGGCACACGCTCTGGCGCGCCAAATTGGCAAAGGGTTTGGGCCCCTCTGGCACTAAGTTCTGATGTTGTCCTTGTGAGTTGCACAAGTTGCCTGGTCGATTGACAGATGCCCCGCAATTGAAGTTTGTATGTGCCACAAGTATGCTGACGGTTCCTGCAGGAAGCATGGTCAGGATTGACCGTAGCTCGCGATGCCGTCAAACATCAAAAGGGCCCTGGGCGGGGTTCAGGGTTCGGTTGGCCCGGACATTTGTTGGTTAAAGCCTTCTTGAAGGCTAAGGTTGGTTCGTGCGTTTCTGGGACCCATGGTATGCTCTATGCGAAGCGCAACTTGAATCCATGGCTCGGGCTGGCAGCCATGGCCAAAGACCTCAAAGCCTTCGAATCGGTAGCGCCGATTCCATGTTGCTTCGTGCCAAGTAATTTGATGCGCATCGTCCCACGAGACAAGGGGAAAACCGAAGCCCATGTGGGGGTCCGATTTTTGACCTGGGTCAGATGGCTCATGCAGATTTGTCGCCAGGTGCCTGTGCCGCAGCCGGCCACCTTCTCGGAGGACCTTCTCTCAACTGCAAGCGGCCCCAAGCCGCTTACCCCGATCGAGCCTAGGAGAGCCCAAAGCTTTCAGCTGGGATCCAAAACGGCACCAAGCACAAAAGCAAGAGCAAACTACAAGATCAAGCAGGATCACAAATTCAAGCACACACAAACACCCACACGGTAATGCAAGCATCAAGTGCAACGAAAGCACAAACAGCAAACACAACAGCCAACACAAGCACCAAACTCCAAGAAACAACAAGCACACGCCAACCTGCCAAGCAAAAACCCAAACAGCCAAACACAAAAGCAACACAAATACAAACAGCAGTTTGTGCCGGCACACACGCAAGCAGCCCATATCTCCAAAGCAACACAATCACAAAGAGCAAGCTCAAAAACACAAAGGGGCCTGTGTTTGTTTGAGGGCCCAGGGTACCCCTTTTTGGTTTGTTTTAAAAAGAAACCACCAGGAAGCCGTCCATGTTAAGGGGTACCTGAAGCTTGCTGGTGCTCAGTAGGAAATGACCATTCCGAGTTGGGAATGAACCTGGAAATGTCCTTCAAGGAAACCACTAAGTTCTAAAAGCCGGGGGCATTCCATTTCTCATCCCCTGTCATCTCTCGCAAGATTCCTTCCATTTTCGGTTTCCGCATTTTGTTTGGTGGCTGCCCCACTTAACATGGTCTCCCCAAAAAGGGTTCCCTTCTATCCCAGGGTCACAAAGAGCAACTGAGCCATACCGGCCATCCACCCCGCCCAGTGACCCAGCCGGTCGCCCGGTCGCCCGGGTGGCCGGCGCCAGGAGCACCGGGCCAGCATGGAGCGCTTAGCACAGCTGCCGCCCACGGAGCTGGAGAGGCTGCCGCAGGCCACCAAGGCCATCTCGGGAAAGTGGGTGGGCATGGCATGCGGTTGGGGGATTTGGTGGGTTGGGGGGTCATGGCCACTGGGTGCGGGGCGGGGGATTGACAAGTTGCGGTTGGGGGGGGGGGTTGTGGCGTCTTCGGGTGGCTCGTTTTTTTTTAAGGCCGCCATGTCGGAGGGTCTTTTCTTAAGTTTGAGCCTCCAAAAAAGGCTTCGTTGTTTCTTGTGGTATTCTTTTAAGACCAAGGGGTACCGAGCCTTAGAAAAAGCAACCACATGTCCCGAGTTCCGCGACGTTTGGCAAAATATAAGCCAGCACGGGCCAGTTGCTTGGACAGAAGTGCCGAACACGCATACAATTATAAGCAAGGGGTGCCGTAACTCAAGTCCGGAGTTGGACTCGAAATGCTTCTAAGACCATTGTGCTAAGTCACTGTTGTTGAGCATGTATTTAGGTGTTTAGGTGCTGTTTCTGTTCGTTGCTGCAACAAGTTCTTTAGCCAAGCTTCACCCATTGAAGTGAAGAAGGTGATCTAGGCTTCCAATGCGTGTCAAAATCCCTCCTTTGGGACCATGCAAAAGCCTGCCATGGGAGACGTGTCAAAGACCTTGAGGTGTTCATCGTATTTGTGCCAGCCTTCCCTTGGAAATGCTGACTGTTGTTTTGGCTATGAAGTTGTAGGGAACCACCTTAAAACTGGTGGGTGGACACAAATCCCCACCGAACTCTGACGTCCACCAAAGGGGCCCAAAGTAAAATTCAGCCCCGTTTTGATATCCCTTCCCCCGTGGTTGTAAATCCAGGGCCTAGCAACGCTTTCGCTAAGGTATCCAAGATGTCCCAAAAATGCCGGGTTGATTCCTGCATTCTCCAAGAAGTGAACCTCCCACAGCTCAGCTGTGGCAGCTCTCATTGGCTCGTAGCTCCACAACAAGCGGATTTCGAAGTACCATGTGCCTGGAAATCAACTGGCTCTTTCTTAAGCGCGTTTAAGGCCCTGCCTTGGTTCAAAGTGGGCTGACTGCGCTTGAGTGGCTTTGAGCATGTCGTCAGATGCAGCTCCTGGAGTACTTGCAGAAAGCTCCGCGACCAGAGACATCCACACGCGTCAAGGCGGAGATTGTGAAATGAGCCGGGAAACGGCCCCAGGATGTGGAACAAACAAGCCATGCAAAGGGGTTTAGTTTTTTTATAATGTAAGTTCAATGGTAGAAGAAGTGACGGTCAGCCCTTTCAAAGGCCAGCTGCACCTTGGCAACATGGTTTGGACACTTCTCACTGAGCTTGCAGATTATTTGCCGTGAAGGAAGGGCAAGCGCGGACAATAACATCACTCAAGAAAAATGATGTCTTTGAATATGTCCGAATTTACAGCCTTAATTTTGATAGGTATTTAGGAGTTCAATGAATGGTGCTTGGCATGCATTTGATGCTCCAAACTAGCACCAGAGCTGGGGCCGGAAGTGTCTAAAAGCATCATGCACCCATGGAAAGGATCCGATCACACACCACAGCCCCCCTTGCGCACGAG